AGCTTCTTCCTTCCAAGGAAACGTGAGGGTAGTGGGACCTGGATGCTGCATTCTCCATCGTAGCAGTTGTTCTGGACCAGCTACAACCTGGCTGGCTGGGCTGGTCTGCTGGCTTGGGAATAAAATAATGCCAGGGGCCTCCCCAGTAGAGAAGCTCAACAATGCAGGTATGTATCCTCAACTTATCTAGACATTCAGATTCTAAGGATACTGGTAAGAAGACTATATGCTGTAAAAATTAAGATGAAAAATACCCAAATACAAAATAACATTATATTGGCTAATTTCAGATCTGGAAATTCCATTTCTGCTTTAGCTGTAGCCTCCTTTCTATTAGTCTATGTGATGGACAAGGTGTGGCTACTAGTTCAGCCCCTTCATATTAGCTCCGCTAATTCTAAATGAATGGCATAGATATTAATATGAAGGACACTGTTATCTTAAGTCTGTTAGTTGTGGAAGAGATGTGCGTTAATACAATTGGCGCTAAATTCAGGGCAGTCCAATTTTCCCAATAAGGTTTCACTTTCTCAGTCTGGGGACTAACCTTGGGGAGGAGCCAGCCTCTCCTGAAATCCCTCCTTCTGTTTCCTTATGTAGCCAACATGATCTGATTAATTCTCAATCAGATGAGCAAAAGCCACTTGAAGAAAGATGACTATCTTGGCCACATTCTTGTGGCCACAGTAATATACTGTACGAGTGCACATGATCAGTAATTTTGGGACTGTGCCCTGGAATGAGGCCTGGTCTTGAGTTTCATATAAAAACGGACCACTGTTAGGCATGAGGGATGTCCCCCTCTCCTCTCCTGGGGTCCGCTAGGATTTGTGCTATGGTAGGAGAGATGACATAGAAAATGACAACAAAAAAAAGGCACGAAATATTCAAAACGTGGGAGGAGTCTACCAGGCCACCCAGTCACACATAAATCCTCCTTGTTTTTGCTCTGTTCAAGAGTCATCATCATGCAAAGGTGCCTAAAAAACAAGACTGGCCAAACTCCAAGCCTGGCCTTGATTGTAGCAGTAATGGATGGGCAAGCCCATCATCACACTAGTGTGATTTCCACATCTTCAATCTTCTCTGCTGGCCTTCGGTGATTCTGCGTAGGTGGAGGGGGAGCTGCCCGGACCTGAGCAGGAAACAATTATGTAGATTGTCAGTCAGTTCCTGACTCAGTATCTGAAGCATTCCCAAAACCTAATCACTTATCTAAGGACATGGGCAGCCTAGGGGTCTCAAAAATGCTGTAAGCATGTGCTTTACTCTTCACTGTTTCCTACACTGAGGAGGAGATGTTCTTAATGAAATGTCAAGCCCACAAATCAGCTTCTTGCCTAGGCTAAAAATCTCATGGGCACAAGAGTCCCATGACTAAGATTCTAGCACATCCTCCAAACCAAAGGTCTGGTTGGAAGCAAGGGAGAGCAACACTTAGAGAAATGAAACATTTTAGCATGTCTTGGGAGAAGAGTTACAAAAGATAAGGCTAGAAAGTAGGCTGGGGTTAAGTTGTGAAGGGCCTTATTTAACCATGTTTTAAAAATCTGTGCTTTAAGAAGAAAAAAAAGCCGGGTGCGGTGGCTCAAGCCTGTAATCCCAGCACTTTGGGAGGCCGAGACGGGTGGATCACGAGGTCAAGAGATCGAGACCATCCTAGTCAACATGGTGAAACCCCGTCTCTACTAAAAAATACTAAAAATTAGCTGGGCATGGTGGCGTGTGCCTGTAATCCCAGCTACTCAGGAGGCTGAGGCAGGAGAATTGCCTGAACCCAGGAGGCGGAGGTTGCGGTGAGCCGAGATCGCGCCATTGCACTCCAGCCTGGGCAACAAGAGCGAAACTCCGTCTCAAAAAAAAAAAAAAAAAAAAAGAAGAAAAAAAATCTGTGTTTTATTCTGTAGGCAAAAGAGTTTTTGGTGGATTTTAAGCAATATCAGATCTGTGAAAAGATGACTCAGGTAACAACTGGAGAAAAGATCAGAAGCAAGCAAGAGTTCAAGTAAGAAGGCAACTTAGGAGACTTTTGTAGTCCTCTGAATGAGAGTTGGCAATAGCCTAAACTAGGGTACTGGCAGTAGGGGAAGTAGAGAAGTGGAAAGATCTGTGAGCTGTCTGCAAGGTATACCTGGTAGGATTTGGGGACGTCTGTGGGAGGCAGGGCCAGGAGGTATTAAGAATGATGCCAGAACACCGGTAGGATGGGGAGTTTCATTTACCAAGTTGGCAATATGGGAGTAGAAACATGTCTGGCAAGGAATGTAACTCATTCTTGCTGAGTTTTGGGGTTCTAGGACATATAAACGAAGACATCCACAAATCTGAAGCTCAGAGAAGAGACTGGATTGGCAGTTATAAATCAGATTTGCTGATATATAAATGGTTATCATAGCTGTGGAAGTAGATGAGGTCACTTGGCAAGAGTGCTTTGAATAACTTCAAGAGAAGCGGCCCAGGGACAGAACCACGAGAAGAATCAGCAGAGATGAGTGGAAGCCAGGCTGCAAGCCACAGAAAGGTAGGACCAGAGAGGAAGAAAGCAAATGAGGCAAATGTGGAGAAGCACATCAGTCCACTGCTCTCCGTTCCCACTCTTACCCACCAGTCTACACTGCTAACACCTCAATCTTGGATGCTGCTCCAGCCTCATAATAGCTCCCTATGTCCTTTCTGCCACCTCCATCCATCCTCCACTTAACTGCCATAGCCATGCTTTAAAAATGCACCAGCCACAACACTGTCCAGCTTACCACCTTACAATGGCTTCCTATCTCATTTGGGATAAAGACTCAAGTCCTTAACAAGGCACTCAATACACATCTACTGAATGAATGAAGCCAAAGGAAGCCAGTGGTAAAGGAATGGTATAAAAGCTAATAGGCCAAGGAAAATAAAATTGCAAAGTATCCAAATGAATTACCAATGTGAAAGTTGTGACCTTGGAGTGCAGTGATGGGTGGAATGCAGACGACAGTAGGGTGAAGGGTGAGTAGAGGTGACTTTGCAAGAATATGTTCACCCTGAGAATAGACGTTCTTTGAGGCCATGAAGTTAGCTTATTATTTCATCTCAATATTCGTCAAAGAGGCAAACAGAGGCCTGGAAAATTAAATGCTTACTAAAAAAAGTGTTTCACAATTAGCCCGCTTTAATGCTCATAAAGCCTGTTCTAATCTAAATACACTTTCATAGTCATCTTGCAATCTCACCATGGCTGAATGAAAAAAGTTCCAGTGTAGATTAAATGTTCCAAGATGAGTTGATTTCTATGGCCTTCCTTTTCAATAGGTCTTTTTACCTTCCCAAACCCAGTTCATCCTTGTTTGGCAGTCAGTAAACACATGTAGGCAATGAGGAAACATTAATTCCTTACTTTCAATTTGGAAGAACTATGTAATCTATAATCCTGTGAGATAGGAGACTTACAGGTCGTAGTTTGCCATATGAGGTCTCAGGAGTGTGCCTTGATGCCTGTGAGAATCCTGGTGACTCAGCATGAAGGCTGTTTTCTAAGCGAGAAAACCAAAGAAGCTCATTTTACTTGAGCTGTTGAGCAATGAAAATGCTAATGCAAGGCCTGCATGGTAGCTCAAACCTGTAATCCCAGCACTTTGGGATACTGAGGTGGGAGGATCACTTGAGGCCAGGAGTTTAAGGCTGCAGTGAGCTATGACCCCGCCACTGCATTCCAGCCTAGGTCACAGAATAATACCCTGTCTCCACAAAAAATACAAAAATTAGTTGTGTCTGGTGGTGCATGCCTGTATTCCTAGCTACTTGGGAGGCTGAGGCGGGAGGATCACTTGAGCTCAGGAATTAGGTTGCTGTGAGCTGTGATCATGCCACTGAACACCAGCTTGGGTGACAGAGTGAGACCCTGTCTCCAAAAGAAAAAAAATGAATGCAGTTTTGTTTGTCTTTCAGGCAACATGTAGATTTCTGAAGTGAAAATGCATTTAGACCCATGCCCAGGAAACCCTTACCGTTTGCTGAAGGAGACCGGGGAAAGTACAGGGAGCTCCTCTTATCTGGGCTGGGGTAGGGGCTGCTGGGAGGCTGGTCGTACAATGGCAGTGGAGGCAGGGAGGCGTGTGGCTTGGGGGAAGGAGAGATCTGCAGCAAAGGGAAGAGAGGTTACCGGGTGCTCAAGTCCAGGAAGGAGAGCCTGGCTGCTTCTCTGACTGCTCTGCACATATCCTTTTTCTCTGAAGCAAAGCTGACTACTGAAACTTGTCAACCTCATTAGAAGCAAATGAGCATTATTAACCACCCCAAGCCCCAATTCTGCATTGCACTTCACTTTTTCCTCTTACAGATCTCATCACATTACTGATTTTAGTTTATCTTAAACAGTTATCAAGTGAAGTCACTCTCTAGGGTTCTACTGAAAATGCACCAAATTAGTCAATTCAGTAAATTTAGCAAAGAACAACAACAACAAAAGGGACAAGTTGGATTTTTTTGGGTGAAGATAAAATACCTAGCACAAAACAGGTTTTATGCATGTTAAGCTAAGGGGTCACAATCACCATGCAAACAAGATCAGCAAACACGTTCCTTCTTCCTCTACCTATCTGGCATGCAGTGATAGACGCCTGAGGGCGAAAAACTAAACTCTGAATTAGGGGTTTCCTTTAAAGGCTGTTTCTCTGTGACGAACTAAGTCTAGGGCCACTTGAGTGGGGAAATGGGAGCTCTAGCAGGCTCATTAATTCTCTGAAATAGATTGGCAGGACCTGGGTGAGGCAGGGAGGCTCTGACAGTGAGGAAGAGAGAGAGCCAGCTAAGAGTTTTACTACATAAATTAACCACAGAGCAATGCCTTCCCTCTTTAGTTTGTTTCTTTCTCTCCACCAAAATGAGCTTTGGTATGTCACATATAATTTGGCATTTTGGTTAACCGACTCAAGGACAAGAATGTGGGAAGATGGAGGTGTGGGAGGATGGCCATATTCCACAAGGGACTGACTGACAAGTCTCTGGTTTCTCAAATGCAGTTTTGCAGACACTGGCAACCAAGGATCAGTGAGGGTAAGGCAGAGACTGCAGCCCACTTTTGTGTGGATCCATAGACTGCTTGGGAGGAATTTTCTTTAAACATCTTTAAATTCAGCTGTTTCCCCTCTCATGTACCTGAATCTCTCTCATCCATGGAGAGTCACCATTTTCTGAGGCTGAAAGTTCTTCCACTAGCACCGATGGAAAAACTCCAATCCGCCCATTGAATTCCCCTTCCCAGAAGCCATCGTCATCTTGGTTTTCTTTGTTCAAGATACGGATTATTGCTCCCTCAGGAAAAGATAACTCATCATCTGTCTGGCCCTCGTAATCATAAAGTGCTTTCACAAAACAGACTAGGGAGCAAGAGAAAGACAAATCTGGTAAGATAACTGACAGCTGGTTGCTTCTGCAACCACCCCTATACTCATATGACAACTAAAAGAGCATCGTACAGAATAGGATTAAAGTTGTAATGTTTTTACTCACTGATGATCAACTTTAGGGTTCTACTCTACAGGACAAATGTGACCAAATAAAGGGAAGCATATTATTGGATAGGAGCAAAGTTGTGCTTTTAGGTCAAATATGACCAAATAAAGAGTGCCTTGTTTCAGTCTTTACCACTGGCATCTCCGTTGAGGCTGCCTGAAACGAGTTCTGCTTCTGTGGAATTGCTGGACGTGTGTGACCGACTGTCCAAAGCAGCCAGGGACTGCAGCATGCTCAGGAGGCTGTTCGAGGTGGGAAACTGTAGGTACTTTTCTGGCACATAACCCACTTGGCCAACTTTATTTCGAGCCTGGGTAAAAGACATGTGACAAAACAAGTTTACACACACAATTCAGGCAGGGCACAACAAAGACCAAAACAAACTCCTAAAAATGTCACAAGAAGGGGTGATATGAGCAAAGGAATATACCTTTACCCAGTCTTCCATATCTCCATCTTCAATCACTTCTAACACCTCATGTTCCTCAATGGTCAACTCATCTGGTTGAGAAGCCTGCAATGTAGGATGGTCATGGACAAAATTAAAAAGGTTAGATAAGGAGCAGATGTGAGCTGATCATGACAAAAACTGGGGATCAAAATATTGAAATGATTTTGAGAAACATGTTGAACATAAAAATTTAAATGCTGTAAAACTATCATAATGAAGTGAAGTTTTACTTTAAAAAACTAAACAAAACCGTAACAAAAACTGAAGTAACTGAATCCTCAAGAGGCAATGAGTTTCAGTGAACAGAACGTGAGCCTGGGCAACATAGCGAGATCCCATCTCTACCAATAAATAAATAAATAAAATTAGGCATAGTGGAACGTGCCTGTAGCCCCAGCTACTACTCGGGAAGCTGAGGTGGGAGGATCGCTTGAGCCTGAGAGGTTGAGGCTGCAGTGAGCCATGAGCATGCCACTGCACTCCAGCCTGGGCAACAGAGCGATACCCTGTCTCTGAACAAACAAACAAAAAAGAACACTTCCTGGAAGCAGAGGATCCGGGTTCCAACTCCAGCTTCTGTATCAAACTATTCAACTTGATGCATTCATTTCTTTAAAGTGACAATCCTGCCATTCTCTGGATGATGTGAGAGTCAATGTGGGATGAAAAAGCATAGAACTGTGATGATTTGGGAAGCAAAGGCAAAGGAGAAGGCACTGAATTGGAACTGCTACCAGAGTCATGGACAAGCATGCAGTGAAAATGCAAAGAACTATGTACATGAATTTGTTGATTGTGGGTGCAGTGTCTAGGACCGATCTGGAATCACTGTAAAGCAGTGGCCAAAAGAAGAAAATTGTAGGAAAGGAAATGATTGAGATCAGTCATGGTTTGGATTTTTTATGCTCCAACTTAACTGTGGAGACTGGGCTGATCCACTTGTGTTCTACTGCACAAGCTGCTAACTGTAATGGTTTCATTATCCCTGACAGCAGCAGTCCACCAGCAGTCCACCAGCATCAGCCACCCACATGTTGCCCTTGAGATGCCAAATCTGCGAGAAAACTCTCTGAAGCTCCACAGAGGGGCTGGAAAGTCCGTGTGGCTTTGATTCCTAAGAGCCTTCCCTGTCATGTGTGATAGGCAGGGGCTGCTGCCTTCTGGCTCTCTAAAAAATAGTATTAAAAGCTTTCCCCAAGACCCACGATCAGTTAAAACCATCACCTAAGATCATAAAGCTTTTCAAATCTCACAATCTCAAAGCGTAAAATTAACTCCAAGTTACACAAAGAAAATAAGGCAAAAAAGGGGTCATTTTCAAGATTCATTTCTGATTTTATGAACATTAAAACATTTCATCAATACCCAGATTCTGGATGTTGTCATTAGCTCCCTGAGACAGAAAAATAATATTGAAGATGGCTAACTAGTCACAGAATACACCAAGGCCAGATTTTAAATTACTTCTTATCTCAAAATTTGAGGGAAAAAACCCACTTATTTACTCTTGATAGCTTTTCCAGTGGAATTGCTACACTACTCTGAAACCATACTATGCCTTGAATATGGTAGCAAAAGACACATTTGTAATAAAAATGTTTTCCACAGCAAGACCTAAAAGGTATCAACACAACCAGACATTAATGTGTGTGACAGCAAACCAGGGGAGGTAATACACTTTTAAATATACTGCTGCCCTTATAAAAAGCTATGGAGAGGCTGCATGAGGTGGCTCATGCCTGTAATCCAAGCATTTGGGAGGGTGAGGCAGGTGGATCACTTGAGGCCAGGAGTTTGAGACCAGCCTGGGCAACATGGAGAAACCCTGTCTCTATGAAAAACTGCAAAAAAATTAGCTAGGTGTGGTGGTGTGTGCCTGTAATTCCATCTTCTAGGCTGAGGCTGAGGTGGGAGGATCACTTGAACAGGGAGGCAGAGGTTAGAGTGAACCAAGATCATGCCACTGTACTCCAGCTTGGGCAACGGAGTGAGACACTGTCTCAAAAAAAAAAAAAAAAAAAAAAAAAAAAAAGGGCATGGAGGTCCGTGCGTGTTTTTCAACACTGCAGTGCTAGTTGTCCAATGTAAGCAGACATTAGCTTGATGATCCCATCCCAACGCAGTGATAACCAATTCTTTCACCTTACAAGGTCAAGTCCGTTGCATGGCAATCAAGACCCTGCAGAGTTTGGTCTCTGTGGGCCTCTTGACGCTTTGGCCCCTGCACACACTCCTGTTCTCTGAGCATACCATGTTCTTCCTTGCCTCTGTGCTTTTATCAGTTGTTCTGTCCAGCAGGCTCTGTTCCCTCTTTCCTATCTGATGAATGGACTTAGATTACTGTGGGTTTAAGTCCAGCTTCAGTATGTTTTTATGGGCAAGAGACCTAAGATGTTTTTGAACCTCAGTTTTCTTTTTTCCTACTAGAATATAAGCTCTATAAGGGCAGAGATTTTTGTCTTTTTTGATCAATGCTATATCCCAGAGCCTAGAAAAGCCCACAGCACTGATACATAGGAGGTGTTCAAGCACTATTTGTTTAATGAATGGGGTATCTGATAATATCTTCCTCATAGGGTTATTGAAGAGATTACAAATAAATAAATAAATAGTAGTTACGATTAATTTTGATTTGAGACGGAATGTATGTTTTCCCAGACTACCCATGATGAGTAAGTTGCTCCTCCTTTTGTTCTTAAAAGGCTCTGAGTGTACCAGTAACACTGACTACCATGATGCTCTAGTGAGCTTCCTAGTAGAAACACTTAATTAGATAGCGACATATTTCTTCTCACCCCAACTAAAGACAGTAAGTGAGCAATAAATGGTTATTAAATACACACATGCTCTTATACTGTCTCCTTAAGTCCTGGTATCCAGTGACAGCTGGAGTTGACAATATCTCTGCAAATTTCCTGTATTTCTTTTAATACAATATGCTTTTCCTGATCATATCATACACATTCATTGTAAAAAAGCTGGAAAATATGCATAACTGAGATATCATGGTACATACAATTTGGTATCCTACCTTTTAATTTGATATTAGGACATAAGGATTTCTTCTTATATAGAAAAACTCTCTTTTCTTTTTTTGAGACAGTGTTTCACTTTTGTTGCCCAGGCTGGAGTGCAATGGTGTGATCTCATGTCACTGCAACCTCTGCCTCTCAGGTTCAAGTGATTCTCCTGCCTCAGCCTCTCAAATAGTTGGGATCACAGGCATGTGCCACTATGCCCAGGTAATTTTTGTATTTTTAGTAGAGACAGGGTTTCTCTATGTTGGTCAGGCTGGTCTCAAACTCCCAACCTCAGGTGATCCACCCAGCCTGATGGAAAAACTCTAATATAAATTTCAATAATCTTCATATTATATGTTATGGCTATAATATATGAATTAGACATTTAATTATTCTCATTCGACTGCCAAATTTAATTTTTTTAAATTTATTTTTTAGAGGCAGGGTCTCACTCTGTCACCCAGGCTGGAATGCAATGGTGTAATCATGGCTCACTGCACTCTCAATTTCCTGGGCTCCAGTGATCCTCCTGCCTCAGCCTCCTGAATAGCTAGGACTATAGGCATGTGCCACCATACCCAGCTACTTTTTAAAATTTTTTTGTAGAGACCAGGTTTTGCTTTATTGCCCAGGCTGGTCTTAAACTCCTGGCTTCAAGTGATCTTCCCACTTTGGCTTCCCAAAATGTTGAGATTACAGGCATGAGCCACCACACCCAGTCATGAGATCTGTTATCCTCATTGATGTCTCTGTCAGAATGAAGGCAAGGGAAAGATTCATTTGTTCATGCCTTCTTTCTATTATTCAAGTATTCATTCCACAATTATTTACTGATGACCTACTATGTGCTCGGCATTGTCCTAGGGGCCGAAGACACACAGATGAGATAAACATACAAAGACAAAATTTCTCCCTTCATGGACCTTTAGTGGGGAGTTAGACAAAGAAATATGAAAACTAAGATTAAGTTTGGCTGGCAGAAGTGCCATATATTATAAAGCAGTACTACATGAAAGGACATTTTTGTATTTAAAACATTTTTCTATATTATGATTTATTTCCTTAGGATGGATGCTAATAGGGTCAAAAGTTAATAACATTCTTAAGGCTTTTGACTAACTTTTTTTTTTTTTTTTTTTGAGATAGAGTCTTGCTTTGTCACCCAGGCTGGAGTGCAATGGCACAATCTTGGCTAGCTGCAACCTCTTGGGTTCAAGCGATTCTCCGGCCTCAGCATCCCTAGTAGCTGAGATTACAGGTGCTCACCACCACACCCACCTAGTTTTTGTATTTTTAGTAGAGACAGGGTTTCACTGTGTTGGTCAGGCCAGTCTCAAACTCCTAACCTCAGTGATCTACCCACCTTGGTCTCCCAAAGTGCTGGGATTACAAGTGTGAGCTAGTGTGCATGGCCAACTCTAACCATTAAATATAGCTTTCTTTGTTCTCACCAGATTATTCAAGGCCTCCTTTCTGGTCTGGACTATACGAATTATGATTAGACTTACAGTCAGTCCTTCTCTATTCTAATCTATCCTCTAGAATATCTATTCCATGACCAGGTTACCTTCTCACAAGTCCAATCTTATTTCAGGCCATCTAAGGATCTTCCCAGCCAAGATAAAAACCAAACCTCTAAGTCTGGTACACAAGGCCCTTTACTATCTGGTAACAAACACCTTTATGCACAGCTCCTCTGTTCTCCTGAGGATGCTCCACTGAATTTGACACTTCTTGAACACCCCACACTCTCATCACACTCTGTCTCTATACCTGCTGTTCTCTTTGCTTAGAAGGCTCTTTCCCTACCTTCTCACTGCATCCAGAAAGGTCTTAAATCTCATGACCCAATTTAGATGCCATCTCATAAAATTTCTCCCAATGATCACAGGTAGAGTTAGTGGCTCTACCTTTACTATAAATTTTTTCACACTTGTTCTACTTTTCCAGTTTAATACATATCCCTTCCTAGACTGTCCATTCCTAGAAGGGAGAGATAATGTCACGTTCATTTTGGCATCCCCCAGATATATAACATATTGGGCACTCTATATGTTTATTCAATGATTAACTGGCTAAATAGATGTTCACAGTCTAATGCAGGGAAGTGCCTGGGATATGCCAACAGAGAGAATGTTAAATGAATGTTGACAGTTTAAAATCACTTGGACACTTAGGAATCTCTCTATTTAAGGACCTTAAATTTTAGTTCTGGGATGTTCAAGTAAATATAATAATGGGAG